GATACACCGAAGAAACTCTACACCGAGATACACCGAAGAAACTCTACACCGAGATACACCGAAGAAACTCTACACCGAGATACACCGAAGAAACTCTACACCGAGATACACCGAAGAAACTCTACACCGAGATACACCGAAGAAACTCTACACCGAGATACACCGAAGAAGGAACACATACAAGAGAAATAAATTCAATTTCTCTTCAGCCAGAAGCCACCAAAAAGAAGCATAGAAAGAACAATCTTCTTCTTCTTTTTTTTTTCTTCCTTCTGCCGCAATGAACTACTCCTTGCACTTCTCTTCCACTGTCCCGTGGAAGCCCAAAGAACTCTTCCTCTATCCCGAGGAAACCCGAAGAAGAAAAACCAAAAAGGTCTGTCGTGACTTCTAAACTTTTGGAGAGCGATACCTTGCAATGCAACCTTACCTTTTTCTTCTCTGCGAGCCTCACGCACCAAGCCGGATATTTATACTCTACAATTAAAGATAAATAGGGGGGGGCCCTCTTCACAGCAAATGGAGAATTAATCCTCTGCTGCCAATTCAAATGGCGGGAGCAGTTTTAGCAAAGAAAGATGCGGGACCGGTTAAGAAGGAAATTGAACAGGTGTGGCTTTTCAACATCAAAATTGTCGGATATGAGTGGGCCAGGCTCCACTTTCAACAACAAGAACTTCATGGTCATGTCATGGCTTACAAACTCCATGAAAACGTCAATTGGTTGTTCGTACATGTTTCTTCCTTCAGTTAGTGCTCTTTGGATGATTGTTCGTGAAACATACTCGGATGTAGAAAATTCTGACCAACTCTATAAGGAATCTGAAAGAATCCGAGAGCCAAAACACGGGGTCAAGGACCATGACCCAAAACTATAATGATCTTGTTACATTATGGATGAAATGTGACTTATACTACAACTACACTTGGGATTCTCCCACCAACTTATTCCTCTTCTAGAATATCGTAGAAAAATATCATAAGTGGTTGTCACCTTTTAAAACTTATACACCTTCATTTTAACTCAATTCAGAACCCGTATTCAGGTCCTTCAGACTGACAATGGTTATGAATTTTTCAACTTTATTTTGGGTGAATATTAGGTAGTAAGGGCATCCTCCACCATAGCTCATGTAAGAACACTCCTCAATAAAATAGGGTAGTCAAGAAGAAAAACTGTCACCTCCTCGATGTAGCTCACTCCATTATGTTTCAATCCAATGTTCTGAAATATTTTTGGAATGATGTTATTCTCATTTTCACCTACCTCACAAATAGACTCCTCTCTAAAATTCACAAGTTTTGAACACTCTTAGCCGTATTGATGTCATGCTTCCATGCCAATCAGATCTTGTCCACATTAGACCATAAGAGTTTTGGGTGCACTGCCTTTATTTGAAACACTACCCCCAATCATAATAAACTTGATCCAGATCTATAAAATGTATTTTCCTTAGGCACTCCGTCACTCAAAAGGGATATCGGTGTCTTGATCCTACCACTAATAAAATCTAGGTGAGTATTGATGTCTCATTCTTTGAAAGTGTTCCTTATTTTCTTAGCTCGGCCCCAAGTGTTGGGGAGCTTTGGTTCTTAGACACTATCCCTTATCATACTTCTATGAATATTCTCCACATTGTTCACGCTACTGAAGAGTCCCATGTCCTAGTGAGTTCTCGGATCCGGTGATTGCACCATCTCCTCCTCCCACTATCCATGTTTACACTTGGCACACCCGTTCCGATACTCCTACCCTGGAACACGCTACCTCCTTATAGAACCTTAACATCACTTCAGGTGACATCCTCAGTGCGACCCCTCCTCCGAATGAGAAGATATGCGATCAAATATGCTCCCTCTATTATATGGCAAAAAATGTCTCTTTTCGCTATTTATCACTAACCTAAAGAGCATTTGCCACTAACCTGACAGACCATCAAATCTATGGTATTATTGAGGTTGCTCTTGCTGATTCTGCCTGAAAAATGACAGTAATTGAGGAAATGAATACCCTTCAGCGGAACTATACATGAGATGTTAGTGATCTTCCACCGGGTAAGAAAGTTGTGTGGTGCCGATGAATTTTTAGAAACAAGTTCAACTCTGATGGATCTTTTGAACGCAACAAGCACAATTGGTTGTCAAGGGTATTCACAGACCTACGGAGTTGACTATGAGGAGAAATTTGTTTCAGTGGCTAAGTTAAACACTATTCTGGTCCGGTTATCCCTTGGAGTGAATCTAGATTGACATTTGTTACATCTAGAAGTCAAGAATATGCTCTTAAATGGAAAGATTAAAAAAAAGGTTTACATGTCTCTTCCTCTTGGCTTTGACTCTACTACCTCTAGAGGGCAAGTGTGCAGGCTGTGAAAGTCTCTCTATGGGCTAAAGCAGCCCCCCAAGGCCTGGTTCGGCAAGTTCACAAAGGTGGTCTTGGGCCATGGTTTTACTCAGGCTCAATCAGATTAAACTCACTTCTTCTGGCATTCCTCTAATAGTCAGGTAACTATCCTTATTGTCTATGTTGACAATATTGTTCATTCAGGTAACGATCTCCCAGCACTGGAGTCCTTGAAAGACATTATTGCTAAATCCTTTGAAATGAAAGATTTGTGATCTCTTCGGTACTTCTTAGGTATGGAGGTGATTTGATCATCTCGGGGCATTTGTCTATCACACCGTAAATATGTGATTGACCTCTTAAAGAAAACAACTTTTTTCTGAGCAAACTAGTGGTTGTCCTTATGGATCCCAACGAAAAATTATCTGATATTCTCAATGTGTGTTTGTCAACAAGACTCACTACCAACGCCTTCTGGGAAAACTCATCCGCCTCACACATACTCACCTCGACATATGCCACGCAGTCGTTATAGTAAGTCAATTCATACATAACCCCTATGAGCACAATCTCCAAGCAATCCACAGGATTCTCCACTATTTAAAAGATACACCAGGCTCAGGTTTGTATTTCTCTATCACACCTCTCGATCTATTGTTGTTTATACAGATGTTGATTGAATTGGGTCGGTTCATGACCGACGATCACACCTCTCGGTCTATTGTTGTTTATACAGATGTTGATTGAATCGGGTCGGTTCATGACCGACAATCTAGCTTGGGGTATTGCTCATTTGTATGGGGTAATCTGGTCACTAGAAAAAGAAAAAAATTGTTTGTTGTTGCTTGGAGCAGTGCTGAAGCTGAATCTCGATCATAGCCTCGGGGATATATGATGTCCTCTGGTTATGCATTATGCTCTGAAAACTTTGTATGTCAACCTCTGTCCCGCTACAACCATTCTGTGATAATAAGGCCGCCATCAGCATTGCGCACAATCCAGTCCAGCATGATTGTACCAAACATGTGGAGATTAACATACACTTCATTAAGAAATTGAGTCCATGAAAATTTGTGAGCCTTTTGTACTCTTCAGTGATCAACTAGCGGATATCCTCACTAGGAATCTTCTTCGAGCTTTATTCGATGACTTTAAATCCAAGTTGAACCTGATTGACATCTATAATTCACTTGAGAGAGAGTATTAGATCTATAACAAAGATCAAATCCCAATTAAATCTCTGGCCGTTATTACTTATTATTTCTTGCATGTTAACTTTAATTCCCTCATTATGTATTCTTTTTTGTTTTATTCAAATTAATTCCTTTTCTTTTTATTTTATTCTATTTTATTTCTTTACTTTATTGTGTCTATTGTAATAGAATTAAATACCCCATCTTCTATCAATAAAATTGAGCTGGTCTATTCCAAATTTTAACAATAATAATGACAATATTTTCTCAATCCTTCCATTTACTTATATCTAAACATTGTCCCAACAAGGAATAACAAAAACAGACAACAAACCATTTAAGAGACGAATGCCTACATGGTGCGGCCCAAATTTCCAGACAAATCTCCAAAACTTATATTGCGGACTCCTTTGTTGACAGCATCTTCGAATACATCTGCATATATGTTATAAATGTATGTTCAGTGGTCTAGAATCATATGGGGTATAAATAATTTTAACATTTATATGCAGCAACCTCTATAATATTAATATAATAAAATATATCAATACTTCAGAAGTACAATTGATCTTCAGAAAACAGGAGTACATAAAAATAATGACCTGTCAGTGCTTTCGTAACCTCATCTTTCTGTGCGGTGGGAGGAAGAAGCCTGTATAACCAATGTGAATATAGGTTTGTATGAGTCCAAGCGTTGACACGACCAAAACAAGGCGCAAGGTACAGACTGTAAATTTTATTAAGCTGCTCGATGAACAAAAATAAGAGACTCCCATCAAATGCCTTGGGCAACAACAAAAAGTTTGCCGGGAAAATATTACCATGCATATCCATAGGTGAAACCACCTTAATGTCCACCCTCAAATTTTATTCCTTTGATAGAATGTTAATTATTTGAGATTTGCTCACCCTTAATTTATAAGTTTGCCCACTTCTCATTAAAAAAGGCCCCATCTTATTATCTTATCTATTTATATATTTCTAAATTTTTACATATCTATTTATATTTTTCAATTATAAATTTAATGGCATTATCTTGCTATATGTTAGTGTTTTTTCTCTAAAAATATTAATTATGTACATGCATCTATTTAATTATTATTATTATTATCATTTAATTATTATTATTATTATTATTATTATTATTATTGTCATTTAATTATTATATTATTTAGATATTTAAATATTTGTCGTCCCTGTGAAAAAGAAGAAAAATTTGCGTACGTAAGACGTACGCAACGCTGCGTACGTCAGGGAGATTATTCAGAGGGCATTGGGGGGTTATATCCGCGTTATACCTCATGTAACCTCCATGTAACCTACATGTAACTTCTAATAAATTTCGCGCTTCTGTTTTCATATATTTATAAGTTACAGGCAGGTTATAGGTGGGTTACAGAGAGGTTACAGGGGATATAACGCAGATATAACCCCCCAATACCTTCTGAATAATCTCTCTGACGTAAGCAGCGCTACGTACGCCTTATGTACGCAATTTTTTCTTGTTAAAAAGAGTTGGCTCGCCCTTGTGCTCATCTAAACACAAAAAACCTTATCAAGTGACACTCATACCAATGAAAAAAATAAATAAAGACATTTTTGAAACTGAAAGTTTAATTTCTGTTCGAATTTAGTGTGACATACTTTCTTCATTTTAACCTTATCCCGATTTTTTTGTATGCTGCAGAGTCCCATAACGGAAAGAATTTTTTATGATCAATGCCATTTCAAGTTGACGCGAAGTGCCTTGCTCAACTGTGAATCGATCACAGAATCCCTTGATACTGCAGTTACGACAATTCCGCTAGCAAAAGACGGCTTTTTTATTTTATTTATGTTATTTTTAACAATTTCCCTCTTTTTGCTTCTTTCTTTTTCAGTCCTTTCCTGCTTTCCTAATTTCTAACAAGATATTTTCTATCATGGGATTTTTATATATATGCTGTATTAGGGCTTTGGATTTGGAGTTTTCTGACTTGATGAATTCAGAATTATTTTCAATGAATTTTGTTCTCTGGAGCTCTATATCATTTCCTTTTGCAACTGGCGTGTTAGTATTTTGCTTAGGAACAGCCTTCGGAACCCCCTTGCCAACTGTATATCGCCTTATCACCATCCAATCTGCTGTTTTCAGCCCAGTGGCCATTCAAGTCACTGTTACCTGCTGTTTCCAGCAAGAAATTACTGTCTCCCTGCCTCCAGCTCGCAGGACAGCTGCCGATCGACGCCAAACTGCTGTCAACAGCCACCTTATCCCCGTAATCCACTCCAATTGCTGTTGAACGTGCATACACCATTCCCTGATCAGCTCCCCTCTAAACCTGTTTCCTGAATACAGTCTAGGAGCCCTAGAACGGTATCACAAGCATACCTCAAAGTTCATGTATTTTGCAAATAAAATTTGCTAATCCAAAGAAAAACATAAGCAGCCTGCTCTTGATCTTGACATAATTCAACCAAACTTCCAAACTGACATCCTACTGTTCTTTTCTACCTTATGGTATTACTCATATGAAATAATACTAATCAGAATCTATTGACAAGCACTACCATTACAGAGTTATCAGATTAATCATATCGAAGGTTAGCTATTGATATTAGGTATCTAATTGTCAAATAATCTGATTTCCTAAAGTCAGTCAAATGAAGTATTTAAGTATGGAAAAAATCTAGACACATGTCACCCAATTCCTATGTATTTACATATGTAACACCTAAACTTTAATTTTTTACATTTTTACCACCCAACTCTTTCGTATCACATCAAAAATACCATCATTTTAACTTTTAAAAAGTGAAATATACCTTTTCATGCATAGGTAAGGTGGCATGCATGAAGAAATTGAAGTTTAGGTGTTAGATATGTAAATACATATGAATTAAGTGGTATGTATATAATCTTCCAAAAACTTAATATTCTGCCAGCGTATCAAACCAGAAATGCAGTTAACAGAGAGTGACTTCTAAAGAATCAACAATTACCCAAGAGTAATGAAGTCCTTTGCTAAAGAATCAAAATCGCGATTAACAAGATGAAGACAAGCTTGAATAAATCCATCTCGGAGCTCTTGCCTAAACTCCCCCATCATTCCAAAATCTGAAAAAAAAAATGTAAGAGAAAATTTAGGTGATAAAAGGATGCCCTTTTCTATCAGGGTATACAACAGACTAAAGCTACAAAAGCGAACTGATAAGCGGAAAAAATAAAACCAGATTAATTAAATAATAGAAATTCCTTGAACATGTACTTTATACTAAAAATAGAAGTAATTTGTTTCTTTTCATTACTTGATTTATTTCATTTGTTTCTTTTTATTACTTGATTTATTTCATTTGTTATTGAGGTAATTTATGAACAATTTGTTATTGATATAATTTATGTATGCATGTATGTAATTGATGTATGTATATGATGCATGTATGCATGGATGGATGCATGCATGTATGTATGGATGGATGCATGGATGGATGGATGTATGGATGCATGCATGCATGTATGTATGGATGGATGGTATGGATGCATGCATGCATGCATGCATGTATGTATGGATGCATGCATATGTATGTATGTGTGTATGTATGTATGTATGTATGAGTGCCCTCACTTAGCTAGGGTTTCTTGCATAGCATGAGAGAGGAAGATCAGTGGGTTGTCATGGAATGGGGGAGAGAAAAGAAGAAGAGAGATTCTATCCGAGAAGATCGTTGAGGGGAGGGGAGGAGAGGGAGAGGGGAGAGGGGAGAGGATGGAATCTTTCATCACAAATCATAATAAATTTAAAATTCAGTAACAAACATTGTTAGAAACCATCAAATCTATATTTTGTAAAAAAAAAGTTAAAAATTAAAATTCAAACTAAATTTAAAACAAGTTTAATTAAGTTCTCGAATCCTATCATTTAATTCAAAATAAAAAAAATCCAGACAATTACATACACTAAAACTAAAATAAAATTTTGAAAAAAATATAAAAATACTAGGAAAGACAAATAATTTTGATGCACGTCAAGTAATCCATCAAATCCCCATTTTTCTTTCTTCATCAAAACATGTATTACTCTGTGCAACGCAATTTTATATTGAGAATAAAATGACAAGTGTTTTAAAAAAAATAATTGCTCTAAAAATTTGTTCTATTCATTAAAAACTTGAGCATATATAGAGCCTTATAACATTCTTACAAATAAATTCTTAAATTTCTTCTATATTTTCTATTTACCAATAGGACCCTGACGAGATACAAATCTCGACACTCCCTCTCAAGGTCATCAAAAGATATTCACTAAACACATCTTGTCACATAACCTAGGCAAATCTAATGAGCAAAGTCGTTTGATGAGGCTGTCAGCCACTTGCTCTCTGGTGGCTACATGACTTGGCTCCAGAAATCCGTTATTCAGTTTTTCCTTAATGAAGAACCTATAAATCTCCACATGATTGGTTATATCGTGTTGCACTGGGTTATTGGCAATGCTAATTGTTGAGTTGTTGTCGCAACAAAAACTTCATTTGAGCTCATTGGCCCACCTTGAGTTCTACCGACATGGCTCTCAACAACTCCTAAGGCCATGACCCTATACTCTGCCTATGTTGTTGACCATGCTACTAGTGATTTTTTCTTGCTCTTTCAAAATATCAAGTTGCCCCTTATTAACATGTAGTATCATGATGCGAACCTCCTATCACAGCACAACTCGCCCAATCTGGTCGTAATATCCCTCAATGCCTACATGTTAATTCTTTCTGAAGATCAAACCCTTCCCTGGTATACTCTTCAAGTACCCTAGAACCTGATACACTACATCCATAAGGCTCTTCCATGGATCATGCATGTATCAGCTAACCACTTTCACTGGAAATGATATGTCAGGACGAGTGTGACTCCGATAGATCAGATGAACCACCAATCTTTAATACCTCCCACGATCATCTGACTCTCCTGCCTATGCACTCATATTGGCCTTTTGATCACATAAAGAGACAGCAGACTTGCATCCCAGCATGTTTGTTTCCATGAGGAGATCCAATACATACTCCCCCGAGACAAAACCATACCATCCGGTCCACAAGCCACCTCAATTCCAAGAAAGTATCTGAGCTGCCTAAAGTCCTTCACCTCAAATTTTTTACCCAATCTTACATTTAGCTGAGCAATCTCTATCTCATCATCGCTAGTGATAATTATGTCATCAAATACATAACAAACATAGTGGCGTGGCATTCATTTTGTCGAAAGTGCATCATATGGTCGATATTCATCTGTTGATATCTCAAGCCCATCATAGCCTTTCTAAACTTATCAAATAGGTTTGAGGAAACTGCTTCAAGCCATAATACAACTTCCTAAGCCTACACACATTGCCCGCTGCCTGACATGTGTAGAATCCTAGTGATATCTCCATATACACCTCCTCTAATAACTGACCATGAAGGAACACATTCTTCAAACCGAGTTGGTATAACCTTTATCCACTATTCAGTGTTAGAGAAACTAGTGTCTTCAATGTACTCATCTTCGCTCCCAGTGCAAAAGTTTCATCATAGTCAATGTTATTTGATTGTATCCTTTCGTCACTGATCGTGCTTTGACATGCTCTACTTTTCCTTATGGATATTGCTTCACTGCGAAGATCCACTTGCACCAAACTGTTTTTTTTTAAGCTAGTTGTGACACAATCTCCCATGTTCGATTTTGAACGAGAGCTTGAAGCTCTTCATGCATGGTCGTTTTTCACTTGGTATCCTCCTTAGCTACCAACCAACACTTGAGCATAAAGACAGTGTCCAAATATGCAATGACTGCTCCATGTATATGTGCTACGTTAGAGTATGACACAAACTGAGCAATTTCATGTGGGAAACCAAAATAATCAGGAAGATGTCCCGCATTAATGTGAGAGGTCCTTAAAGTCATGGGATTATAAGAAAGAAGAGGAATCATGTCACCCGTGTAATTTGAGTCTGGGGTGGATAATGTAGGTGTCTCAAAAATCAAGGTAGACCAGAACAAGGAACTTGTCGGCATGAGTGGCACTGTAGACATAATTCCCTCATTTTGTTATCTCCTTGTATACACCCACAACTCCCTTTGAGCCTGAATCCCACTACCTACGGGTTCCATCTCCTTATTTTTCGATTCTTCGGTCGATTCATCCCATATCACAAAACAAGGCATTGCTCCCATATGTACCAATCTCTCACCATCACTACTCTCCCCCTCTCATCTCATATGGCGAGTCACCAAAGGGTGAGATCACCTCCAGAGTGTTATACAATTCAAATTCTCTAGAGGATACGTCCATGCTCATGAATAGTTTCTTCTCTATCGGACTTTAATAAACATACATATTCTGGGTAGTAGAATAACCCAAAAAAACATACTTCACAACTCCGGAATCCAACTTCCCTACTGATGGTCTGTTGACCTTCACAAACATTCAAAGTCAAATACCTTCAATTGGATGATCCCGCTATTCTCTTCCAACACTCTTGAGAGCATTCTATTAATCAATTGAACAGCTGTCGAAATTGCTTGCCCCCACAAGTGCTTTGGGAAATTCATTGTGATAATCACGTTTTGGACCACCTCTAGAAGGTGTTTATTCTTCTTCTCTACTACTTTATTTTGTGTCAGTGTGTATAGACATGTGGTTTAATGTTGTATCTATTGGATTGATAAATATTCCAAACGCATTATTGGTATAATCTGTCTCATTACCAAACATCAGTACTATCACTACTACACCATATTGCGTTTAAACTGCCTTATAAAAAATTTTAAAGCAAGCAAACACATCAGCCTGACTTTTCTTAGATAAGACAAAATTACACGAAAAATAATTAATAAAAGTCACAAAATATCGATAATCATTTATTGAACTTGTAGAACACAGTCCTCAAACATCGGAATGTATCAAATTAAAACTAAAATAACTCATATTTTCATAATTGATATAAGAGTAAGCTTGACAAACTCACAAACATCACATTCAAGTTTTTATTTATTTGTCTTTTCATACAAAGACGGATACAAATGACTAAATAAACTAAAACAAGAGTGTCTCATGCATTTATGATGTAGCAATAACACATCCTCCACACTCCTCTCAGACCCCCAACTCTAATACACTTTACCATGGATGTCAAGGTTGAGTTCATCCTCTCTATTCAACTATCAAAATTCACTAATGTCATGTTCTAGTCCCAAGTGTCCGACCCGTCCATTTCTCTTGAAAGATCATCTTAGGAATATCAAATGAAATAATATGTTTTAATTGAAGAACGATGACACTGATGGATAAATAGTTCACTAGAAAGGAATGAGCATGCAAAACATTGAACAATGTCATAGAATCAGTACACCTAATTGCATCATTACCAACTACAGGCTAAATTGTACAATCAACAATCTATATGCTCTCTGGAACTGCTATGTGAGTATAAGAAGAGAACTCTCTAGCAGTATATGTCACATGTCAAGATGCACTATAAGCTACTATCCACTCTGGTGATTTTCTGGTGGATCACGAGTACCTTTCTTAGAGCGAGCATAAATAGCAATGTTACCACTTGATGACGATGAGGTGGATGCATCCTCAGCCTCATCACCTATTATTTTATGCTTCCTCTTCAACATCTCAAGAAAATCATGATTCTCATCAATAAAGACTCATCTTCTGCTACCATCATATTTTCCCGATAGCCCCTTCTTACATCTCTTCGACCACCTCGGTCACGACCACAGCCTCAAAACTGTCCACTTCACCGTAGTTGTAGAGCTTACAAGTCGCCCCCTGGACACCTGTCATACCTGAGCTCGAGGCAGTCAAAGCTGATCGAGTACCTGGAAGTTCACTCGGCTCAGAGTGTAACCTCATGTGACTCCACATGTATCATCACAATGATTGCCTCATCCAGTGACCGGATCATCACCTGGGCTAGGAGAAATGATCTCCTCTAATCAAAAGTCGAGTTCATCTAAGCCAAAATTGCATAGTCTTCGTCTGTGCAAAGATCTCCCTCTTCTTACATCTTGGATCAACATAGCTCGAAATCAGTGAAAAGTGGTCAAAATCTGCCCACAATTGCTCCAGATCTATAGAGTACTCATGAATCGATCTATCTCATCTGATACCATAAAGAAATAATTGCTCTAAAAACTTGTTCTATTCATTAAAGACTTGGGCTTATAAAGAGCCTTACTACATTCTTACAAATAAATCCCTAGACTTCTTCTATATTTCATACTTATCAATACGACCCTAAACTAGATATAAATCTCAACAGTTTTACCATTCCTAATCGATCCCGAATTACTAAGAATAAAAAACAATGTAATATTCATAAATATATGTTAAGCAATACACAACTTTCGGAAAAAGTAATGTTGATAATGAAAGCCAAACAGAGAAAATATAGCAAGAAATTATACATGTTTAGAGAATCAGAAATTTTTGCTTACATAATTTATTTATTTATTTACTTTTTTTTATTTTTTTATACATAATTGGGTTCCTTTACTTCAGTTGTAATGCATGAAAGAAAGTACTAGCATATTTATAAAAATTATGACGTATAAAGATTATGCTCCATCAATCAAAAGCATAAGATGAATGGAATATTTAAATACCTACAACTCAATTCCTATGTATTTAAACATCTAACAACTAAATTTCAATTTTTACATACACAACACTTTACTGATACATAAAAAGATGTATTTCACATTTTTTTAGTTAAAATGATGGTAAATTTGATGTGATATAAAAGATTTGGGTAATATAAATGTGAAAATTGAAAGTTAGGTGTTAGATATTTAAGGACATAGGAACTGGGTGGTACGTATATAAATGCCCATATCATGCTTTCCACATAAAAGATGGAGCAGAACGCAAGCCTCGCAGTATATAATAAAACAAGCTAATAAGATGCTTAGAAAATATACCCAAGTATGCTAGCTTCCCATCCACTGTTCGAAGAAGGTTTCCAGGATGAGGATCAGCATGATAAAATCCATATTCCAGAAGCTGGGAAAGTGAGCAATAGACTCCAACCTGTTCAGTAACATAAATCATACAGCTCTTCAGCATAATCATTATCATTAACCATGTCCAATTGATTTGAATGAGCTTAAGGAAACCTTTATTGGTCCATTCGTGTGTTAGGTTACGTGTTAAATCTACATGAAGTGCTCAAATTATACAATTCTTTCCAAGGTTATTATAAAAAAAACAGGAGTGGAAAAGAAGAAAAAAGAAAGCGAAAAACAATTCAAAATATAACATTAATGCCATATTTCTACCTCTACAAGATAAAGATCTTTGACCTCCACTAACTTCTGCCCCTGTGAAAAGTAGAATAAATTCAAACTTTGGCTTCAGGCACATAATTCCTGAATTTATGGTTTAGAAAATAAAATCACATAATGCACCTCCACCCATTCCATGATAAGGACTCGGCGGGTGCTTTGCTTCACAAACATTTCTGGCACGAAAACATCCTGTAGCTGTCCATATAGCTTCCTACATTATAGTGAAAATAATGCCAGAATTACGTATAGAAATTTCCAACACTACACAATTTTGGGGGGGGTGGGGCAAGGAAAACACGTTATTAAACTTATCTGCGCACATTACAGACACGAAAATTGTGGATTACAAGTCCTTTTATAAGACATACTATAAAGTAGAGTGGTATCATTTTTATTCACACAAGAATTTGATATGAGTGAATATTAATTTTTCTTGGTGGATTTCTTCTGAAAGGCAAAAAAGCTTAATTTTCCTACTATTTTGAGTTCAAAAAATACAAGAACAAGGAACTATAACACTAATTATATTGATTGTGTTGAGAAAAACTGAAGCATGTAGGTATGATCATGATTATTAGACTTTAAAGGTGGCAATACCTGAATTTAATACCATTTTTGGCTTCTTCCCTGTAATCCATCTCCTGCATTAAATGTGATTTACCTGTATTCAATGTAAAGCTCTAAGAATATGAATAATGCGTTGTGTTACACCTTTGACAAACTATTCGAGAAACATTAAACAGATAAAGAATGGAAAACCGCAACTTGCATAGTTTATTACTTAGTTCTTGTAGATGTTTAAATGGGAAAAAAACACTCCAGACATAAGTGATGGAATTTTATTCTCCTAAGAAGAGAATACTATTCCCCACCTGCTTTTGTGACTACCATTTTAAATAACCTTCAAACTTAAAACCACTTTTTTTTTTTTTTGCGATCTAAGGCAAGTTTTAATTAGGTCAATTTTCCACTACTTTTCATAATAATTTAAACAATTGCCAAATATGCAAGAAAAAATAGATAAAGATGATCAGACAGTTTCAGGATTTTGTGAGCAAGCAGGATCACAAGCGAGGCTTTATTGTTATTATTATTATTATTATTATTTAGTTGATATAATCCTAAGATATATCAAGTAATTTTAATATGGTAACCTAACAACATATTATTCACGGATATATCAGTAATAATCCTACTCATTCGCATCCCTCATGGCTTTGATACCAATTGCTTATTTACTTTGCATAATCTCACTGCTTTAATAGACAACAGTGCAGATATGAATTGTATTTAAGAAGGAATAATACCTAAATACTTTGAAAAAATCACACATCAGTTAACTTCTATTTCAAGCAATAAAATGGAAATAAAATATAAAATTTTCTCTGCAAATATTTGCGAAAATGATGATTGCATTAATACTTTTTTTATTAGTTAAAAGTTTAACATAACATATTATTTTAGGAATTTCGTTCCTCTACAAAATTATGTAAATTAATAAAATTTTATTCTAATAAGTTAGATAAAATAATTATTTTTGAATTTATTACTAATCGTATAGAAATTATTTTGAATGAAATCAATAAATTTAAATTAACACAAAATCAAATTAATTTTCTACAAGAAAAAATTACGTTGATAATTATAAAAGAAAAATTAAAAAGTAATTCTATATAAGAAAAAATTTCAACTTTATGTAAAAAAATATTCGACCATTAAGAAAGAAATGTTTTAGTTCACTCAATGTATTATAAAATTTTAATATGATTTATTAAATCAAAAATTTTTATTATGAATTGATTGTAGTTTAATTAAGTATATACTACAAAAAGATGTAAAAATATTATCTTCAAACAATTTTTTGACAATTATCAAGCAGAATTATCTTTCTTTGAATTTGATATTGAATATATTTCAAGTAATTCTAATTTTTTACATGACTTTCTCACTCGTGAATTTTTGTAAGGAGAAATACAATGAGGGGTGGATCACCCCACACCAACGCATTAAAATGACACCCTAACAGGGGGGCGGGTCAACCTAATGTGACTCCGCAAAAATTTATGACTTTACAGTAATATTTGTAGGGAAGCCCAATAGCCTCCACTACAAAAGCTAAATCTCCTCAATCTCATTATCTACAAATTCAAGAAGTCACAGAATTTGTGTAAAAATCTACAAAAGAAAAATCCTTGAAATCAATCTAGAGGATATGAAATTCATGATCCTTGTAAAATTTAGGAGAGATATTTAAGCACAAGTGTTTGCACACAAGATAGTCTTGATCGTGAATCAAATGAGACGATCCTCATTGCATTACAAAGTGTTGAAATTCAACACAATATTAATAAACCAAAGCTATAAATCGCATCTTGCACCATAAGGAATGAGGTATAACTTATAGCAAAACTACAATTAATCACATCTTACACCATAAGAAATGAGTTTTAACTCATTTTCATGCTAAACAGGTTGAATTTATTCACCCTGTAGCTAATCAGAAAAAAATTGATTTATCTTAATTATTGGACCTATGTCCAAGCTATAAATCGTGTTTTTTTACTTATTAATCAAAGGCATAAACATTATTGGCTTTTTGTGCTAATACCTGAAATTTTAAGAAAAGAAATACCAAATTGATTTTTTGTAAGGTGGGACAAATTCAACTCTATAAATGAAATTCTCCTGGAATCAATCACTAATCTCTATCCAGCCTGGGTTCAATCTTCTCCACAACTCGGTAAAATAAAAAATGATTTTCTAGCAGAGGTATGTGAGAGTCACTCTCCTTCTGGCAAGCACAAATACCGAGGATCTTTGCCTAAAATATTGTCATTAACAAGATAGCTTCAACACCAAATGTTTATGAGGAATATTTTTCATCAAATGGTGGTGTGTAATTATTGTCGGTGACAAAATAATTCAAATTAATAAAGTCATCACAGCCAATATTTCCAATATTCGAGAATCAATCTCAAGAGTTCTTCCTGAAGAAAATTCATGACCAAATCAAGAGAAAATATCCCCACGAATCACCAGAGCAAATCAAGCAACGAATACAGGAGTTCTATCAGAAATAGATGAAAGAATTATTCGAATCAGAAGATGAAATGTCAATATCCAATCAAGGATCACAATGAAAAAAAATTGAGAGATTATGGTGACCCACCTCGACTCAAATTAACATAATCGAGATAAAAGTGGACCCCCACTGGGGTCACTTCAGAGAAACATTATGGGCAATAATTTCGGTGGTTGAAATAGTACTTATTGGTGGAATGATGATAGCAATAATATCGGTTGGTGTAATAGTGTGTAATTATTTATAAATTTATGTCACATCAAATGAATGTGTTATCTATTATTAAGTTCTAATCTATTAAGTTTGGAGTCCGCCCTCATCTATAAATATAAGGGCTTTGTGTTCTGTCGAAGGGTGTAAGTTTTTAGAGAGTTTTCCCTTATAAGATAAGAATGTATGTCTGGTGTTTTCCCCAAGCTTGGTGCTCTGTAAGTTTTTCCTGTTTTTAATATATTTCAATTTTATTTATATCTTGGTTTTAAATTTGTATCAGAGTCATGAGTGCCTAAATCTTTTCTGGAGCTCTTTTTATGTAAGTAATTTTAATATAATAACCTAACTCTATCAGGATAGGTATATCCTTGCATAATAAAGTCGGGTGTTGCACTGCAACTTAATATCCTTGACTGACATGCAAGATTATACTAACTTTGACTTTATGGTCTGATCATATTATTGCTCTAAGCTAAGCTTAATCCAATAGTCATAGTCGCATGTGGTCGTTTTATGTTCGGGATGGACGCTTTATTGCCTGGTTCTTGTTGGCTCGACTTGTTTAGATTAAATCCATAGTGAAGCAATAATATTTTCATCTGGTTGTTGTTGGACTACCCTATTAAACTTATTTAACAAAAAAAAGTTCTATATGTTTTATCAGCTGTCTTTCATGAGCACCTCTTCACGGTACAATAATATCATAATATCTAAAAATCTACAAAGATCTCAATCGAGAAATAATAATATTAAAAATGCATAATTACTGGAATACCCTACAAATGAATAAGACTTAAATACATGGACTATTCCAAAGGTGGAAAAATCTCTAATCTATAAGTTAAAAATGCTTTGATGTGTAATTTAAACTCAGGATATAAATAAAACTGAAATATATTAAGAACAAGAAAAACTTACAAAGCACCAAGCTTGAGGAAACAATAAACAGACACTCTTATCTTACAACGAAAGACTCTAACAACTTGCACCCTTCGACAGAACACAAAGCCCTTATTTATAGATGAGGGCGAACTCCAAACATAATACATTACAACTTAATAATAGATAACACATCCATTTGATGTGACATAAAGTTAAAAAAAATTACAGACATTATTACATCAACCAATATTATTACTACAACTATTCCAACCGGTACTATTTCAACCGCCAAAATTATTGAGCAAAATGTCTATCTGAAGTGACCTTTGTGGGCCCACTTTTATTTTGATTCTGTTAATTTGAGTCGAGGTGGGTCATCGTTCGCTCCGAATTTTTTCGTCGTCTGATCCTTGATTCGAAACTAACATGTCATCTTCTGATTCAAATAATTCTTTCATCGGTTTAAAATAGAGTTCCTGTATTCGTTGTTTGATTTGAACTAAGGATATTTAGTAATGAATTTCCTTTAGGGAAAACTCTTGAGATTTTGATTCTCGAATATTGGAAATATTTGTTGTGATGACTTTATTAATTTGAATTTCTTTGTCACCATCAATAATTGCAGACAATCATTTGATGAAAAATGTTTCCCATAAATATTTGGTGTTGACACTAACCTGTTGATGACAAAAATTTCAAGCAAAGATCCACAATATTTATGTCTGACAGAAAAAAGAGTAGCTCGCACAAACCATCTTCTAGAAAATCATTTTTATTTTGCCGAGTTGTGGAGAGGATTGAACCCAGGCTAGAAAGAGAATAGTGATTGGTTCCAGAAGAATTTCATTTATGGCGTTGAATTTGTCCCACCATACAAGAAATTAATTTGGTATTTCCTTATTTAAAATTGCAGGCATTAGCACAAAAAATCAAGAATATTTATGTCTTGGATTAATAAGTAAAAAAACACGAATCATAGCTTGGACATAAGTCGAATAATTAAGGTAAATTAATTTTTTTATTAGATTCAGGGTAAATAAATTCAACATGTTTAGTTTGAAAATGAGTTAAACATCATTCCTTATGGTGCAAGATGTGATTAATTATAGTTTTGTTATAAGTGATTGTTTTATTTAGTTCATTATAATTGTGTTGAATTTCAACACAATGTAATGAAATAAAGATTGTCTCATTTGATTCACGGTCAAGACTATCTTGCGCATAGACACTTGTGCCTAAATATCTCTCCTAAATTTTCCAAGAATCATGAATTTGATAATCCTCTAGATTTATTTCGATGATTTTTTCTTTTGAAGATTTTTGCACAAATTCTGTGACTTCTTTAAATTTATAGATCAGAAGAATGAGAAGATTGAGCTCCTGAAGTAGAGGTCATTAGACTTCCATACAAATATTATTATAAATTTATAAATTTTCGTTGGGTCACATTAGGTTGACCCCTAT